CGGCCGCAAGCAGGGCCGGCGGGGGCGTTCGCCGCGCAGGCCGGCCGCTCCCGCGCGTGCTCCAACCCGCCCAGCGAGGGGCCTCACCAGGGTGCGAAGAACTCGACCAGCATGAGGCCCGCGGAGCCGGTGTCGGAGACGCGGCTCTCGAAGTTGTCGTCCGTGAGCTCTATCACGTCGGAGGCAGCGGCGAGGCGGGCCGCGGCGAGAAGCAGCGCCACGCCGGGGAACAGCGCTGGGCAGCGGGAGCGCATCGCGGCGGAGCGCGGAGGGTAGGCGCGCGAGGGCTCTGCACAAGTCTGGCGGCCGACCGCGGACCGATGCCTGGGCTCTCAGGTCTGGCCCAGGCGGACCTGAAGCCGGACTTCCCAACCCCCGCAAGGCGGAACCGCCCGGAGGGCGGGACCAGTGCGCTACCTCTAATTGGCTATGCCGCCTCTGCGCCGGGCCGATGAGACCAGCGCGTAACCGTTGATTGGCTGTGCCTCGCCAGGGCCGGGCGGGCGGGACCAACGGGTAACCGCCGAGTGGCCGGGGCTCAGCGAGGCGGGGAGCGGTAGTGCGCCGGTTCTGCGTGGAGGGAGGCGGGCGCGGTGAGGCGGAGGAGAGAGCGGAAGCGAGCGCGCCGAGGTCTGGCGAGTGAGCTGGCGGCCGAGAAGAACCCGCGAGAGGAAGCGGCGCGGTGCGGCGCTCGCACTTGGGGCCAGTCTTCAGGGTCAGGCTGTGGCGTTTCGTCAGCTCTTCGGAGTTGCTTCTCTTCCTAGGGCAGCCACCAGACCCACGCCCAGGCAGCCGCGTGCCCGACGGGGCTGCGCTTTCTTTGTCCAGCTTCGTGCTGCCAGAAAGTGAAGGTCGACTAGGCAGTCTGTCTTACCGCTTTTTTTTTTAAGAAGGCGAAGCTGGGGTTTGAACTCAGGGCCCTCCAGTTCGTTACTTGCCCAGGCTTGCACATTTTTTGCTGTTGCTTGACACAGGATCTCATTATTTAAATTGATCAGGGTGGGCTTCAATTTGGGATCCCCCTGCCTC